CACGCGTTTCAAGTTTCAGATTAAACCACACTCGGTGGCTCTCGAAAGCTAAGACTCGGAGCTTTCCAATAATACCTAGATCGTCTTCTGGGTCCTTACAGAACGACGAAAAAATAGCCCGCAAGTTCGTTGTTCGGAACTAGAAACAGGAAATTCCAGTCTTAGAAAACATGAACGACACGTTGACATCTAAAGAACATAGAGAACGGAAATTACATCAGAAACAGGATCGGAATCCTATTCTAAAAACTAGACAGAGAGAGCTTTCCATAGATAGGTGGATCGTCTCCTAAATCCTTTTGGTTTAAGGGAATCCTCCCTCGAAATGGACTGATCGCAGACCCAAAACTCCAGAAACATCTCTTAGTAAAACGATGATAACTCTCGGAATACTAATCCAAATGACAAACTGATTTCGCCCAAAGCTAGATACGACAGTGGAAAACTTACTCTAGAAGTTTTGCTCCAATCCGATCCTATATTCCTAGCCGTTTGTCTCCCCTTCTAAAATCGGACAGAACTATTTTTCTCTCAAGAAAGTCACTTCTCTCACAATTCTCTCTAACTCCTTTTGATTTTCGGCCAAAAGAGCCACAAACGCGATCTCCATGCTTATATAATGGAACCCTAGGGTTCCCTAAATCGATCGCCAAACCGAGCGATCAAAAACCTAACCAGACGGTTCAATTTCAACTTGCATCGATCGACGCACAACACTTGTGTCGATCGACGCAACACCAGAATCCAAATTTTCGCGAGTCCAAACACGTGTGTCGATCGACACACACACACTATATCGATCGACGCACCACCAAAAACACACATTTTGGATCACGGGGGTTACAATTCTCTCCTACTAACACGGATTCGACCTCGAATCACACAGCACCGTCCCTGCTAAGGCTAACACTCCCGTACGAAATCCGACCAGCTTCACCCGAAACACACTAGAATGCAACATTTTCTGGTCTAGACCATGCCTGCCCGATTGATCGCACAACAATCAAACAAGAACATGCCTGATCAACCGTAGACCTAGAGTTGAACCAATTGATCGTGCAGCAATCAAACAAGAATATGCACGACCAAGACACTACATAAGTTACCAGGGTCATCTGAACCGAGGTTCCTAAACACAAGTAAAATCCCTAGACTAGACACCAATCACATCAACACTCCTGACCCTACCCGGCCAGCACCACCTGAGATCCTTCCCGATTCCCGAAGCTCATCCAGT